TACACCTTTAACTTGCACTGGGATGCATTGCGTTTTTTGCTTACGTTACGCTAAAACTGGTGTCATATACGTTATTATATTAATTACACCTTTAACTTGCACTGGGATGCATTGCGTTTTTTGCTTACGTTACGTTAAAACTGGTGTCATATACGTTATTATATTAAATGCACCTTTAACTTGCACTGGGATGCATTACGTTTTTTGCTTACGTTACGTTAAAACTGGTGTCATATACGGTTTTCTTGCTCTACGTTAAAATTCTTACGTTGCCTCTCCCTATAGATATGGCGGATCCTGGTTGGAAAACATTCTATGATTCATCCACGCCTCAGACGGAAAAGATGCCTGATCCATGGGACCTCTTGTCTGGATTGGACAGGTAATAATTGTCAAACGGATCATGAATTTACCAACGTTTGCCGTTGTCTTTTACGGTTCTCACGGCAGTCATTATATTTTTGTATATTTTGTACCGACTTTTCAAGATACTCTCTTTAAGCATTGGGAGACGTTTTCCATATTTCTATTGTCYATTAGAAACACGCGGAAATGTTGAGAGAACACGAGGAAGGATTTGATTCAAGAGCGATTGAAAGCCATTTCTTGTGTTCTTCCAGCAATCTCAAGGGTTTCTAACAGAGAATGAAATCATGGAAAATATCTTCTAATGCTTTAATTTATAAAACAACARCTCTTCTCCTTGAAAGACATGTTTCTTGTGCTCTTTTAGAAAGACGGTTTTGTTTGCACATTTTAACCAATCAGTGCGCGTGTTATATAATAGTTATGTTAGAAATAGTGATGTATTCTTATGCGATGTATGTCTATCATATAGGATGGTAGTACTGAGGTGTTTAAGACCTGATAAAGTCGTCCCTGCCGTTCAGGTAATTGCTGAGCATAAAGTCACTGAAACAGTACAAACGTCAGAAATATCGCGACAAATTCCCATTCGATACATTTCATTTTTCATCGATATATTCATTCATTCATTTTTTCATCCTTCCATTTGTTCATTTATCCATCCACTCCATCCATCTTTTTATTATTTTAATGATCAAACTATATTCCACTTTCTTCGCCAGGATTTTATTGTGGAAAATATGGGTCGTTCATATATCGAGCCACCGACCTTCAACCTCCAACTCAGCTATGATGACTCCCACTCCTGTGCTCCCTTAGTCTTCGTGCTCTCTCCTGGCGCTGACCCAATGGCTGGCCTGTTAAAATTCGCTAATGATAAAGGGTTTGGCGGTAATAAGATACAAACGATTTCACTTGGACAAGGCCAGGGACCTATTGCAGCAGGCATGATAGACCAAGCCATCAAGAACGGTACATGGGTGGTGTTGCAGAACTGTCATTTAGCGACCAGCTGGATGCCAAAACTCGAGAAAATATGCGAGGAGGTTATCATTCCTGAAAAYACTAAACCAGAATTTAGACTTTGGCTGACRAGTTATCCATCTCCAGACTTTCCAGTTTCTATTTTACAGAATGGTAAGTTTATTCTATTTATTCTTTGTCTAGACCTGAATGATTCATTTGTTGTGCCTTATGTGGCCGCCATCTKGAATTCCATTGCTTTATGATAGACATTATGGGATTCCTGGAGAAAATTCCTGGAAAATCAACGACCTAATCGGCTAACGTGTTGCTATAAACGTTTCCAGCCAATTTAAACCAACCGCCGAGAGTATGTTTCATTGCTCGTTGTATTTTCATTTAACAGTTTAATTCTTAGAAGCAAAAGTTCTTCTTCCCACAGGTTTCGAATTGGTTGGTAAAGTGCATGACACGTTAGCCGATTAGGTCTATTAAGTACTATATAATTCAAATATTTACCATCAAATACGGAGTATGATAAAGGTCTATTGTCGATAATAGGTTGACAAACGAATGTCTTCCTTTAAAACTTGTCGGTCAATCTCCGTTAATCATTCGGTACTTTTTCGTTCCACATTGGATAGTTTGTCGATAGTTAGGTGCTTGGTTGCCTTAAGTAAACTAGTCGTATAGTATCGAATTAGTTTCGGTCATTCATCATGTCTGTAGGGTTTGTCTTCGTTGATTATCCAATGATTGCGTCGTTTCTTCTACGGTAGGTTTCCGGATGACTATCGTCAACTTGTCGGTGGTTAGTCGGTTGACTATCATTTCTTTAGAAGACTATTATCCATACA